GAAGACATCAACAAATCGCTGGTCAAACACAACGAAGAACTGAAGAGACAATTGGCCGCCAAAGACAAACAGCTATCGGTTCTCAAGACAAACATATCATCGCTTTATAAGACAGCGAAGGCTGAGATCGAGCGCAAGAAGCGAGAGATGACTGCTTTGCGCGAAGAGTTGGACTCAATTATCTTCAGGAGATTGAAGAGATGTGACACCAATTGTGACACAAATACGGATCAATTGAATGCCATCGTTGACCACAAAGTGATGTTTTGCGATAAAAGTACCAACACTTCAGACAAAGACATTCACTTTTCAGACAACAATCGTCTCAATAGTAATCATAAGGTTTTATCATTTCTCGCAAATAATTGTTTATTTTTTTAATTGATATCTGTTTTGAACGATAGAGTACTGAGAGGTCGACAAAAGTGGTAAACAAAGAGTTAAATAGACGGGAAAGAAGTCGGAGTCGGTCTCGAAGAAGCATTTCACGGGAACGACAGCCAAATAGTCACCGAAACAGCGGCCAAAAGAACTCAAAGAGTTATTCATCGAAACGATGCGAAGACAACCGAAGAAGTAGTGGCAGTAAATCGACCACTGATTGCAAACCATATACAAAGATTCGCCAAAAGAGTTCACATAACAGATGACACTATTGTTTCAGTTTAGGACCAAATGTCTTAAAGAAGATCTTATTTATTGATAGTTAGCCTTAATTTATATTTCATTAACGAATTCAAGAGACCACACGTGAGGACCCAATCGTTGCCCTTTTTATTATTTATATATTTTATGTCATATTATATAACGAATCAAATGAATGAACAAAAATATAATTTAGTTATTTATTATAAAATAAATATAAATTATTTGTTATTAAGAAATATACAATTTCAAGTGATTTAGTCTTTATAGTCATCTCTATTGTCATTATAAGTATCTATTTTTGTCCTCAAGTTATCGGTCCATGAGATGAAGTCTTCGTGAGTTCTGGTGACCAGAAATGCCGGATCTGTCACCACATTTGGTCCGACCCTAATGTGACCGTGTTTTACGTATTTCACTATTTAAAGCAAACAACAGTTTAGGCAATCAATAATCATATGTTAGAAAGTGTTGGGAAGTAATGCTGTGGACACTGACCGGCCATAGAGAGGGGTCCGGAAAACATTCCCGACTGAATCATATATACGGGAAGTCTTCGGCGACAAAACGCCTTCACATTAACTGAATTGCATTTCTTGAGGCGTTTTGTTTTGATTAAACCG